TTAACGGCGAATGGGTTTTGATTTAGGTGGCCAAGGCTACTAAAGCACGTAATAGTTTTGCCCTAATTTATGAGTGATTTTTCAGTATGACCGTCACACGAGGTGGTATACTATGCGTATTTCTATATAAATTGTGAGTTATATGTGTTCAAAGATTAATAACTTAAAAATTAAAATTTTCCACCACTTGCATAAAAACACGTGGTGTACCATCCGTATTCCCGTCACAACTAAAAATTTCTCCTAATTTATCAAATTCTATACCAGTTTTTGGCTTTTAGTCATGGGGTTTGGTTACCTTTTTGTTAGAGCTAAACATCTAAATTCTGTTCAGCTTTTAATGCAAGGGCGCTTCACAAATTAACTTCCCGAAAACTCCATCTTAGTCAAAAACACTTAGAACACCGTTTTGATTTCCGACTCAATTGTTATTTGCACCTTACTAATTTTGCAAGTTATCAGCTAAGTGATGGTTTTCTTTTATGTAGTTTGATTTTTAATGTATTTTTTACGACAATTAACAGTTGTTGAGAGGACTACACTGATCATATATTAGTTTTTAAGTTTTTTTGTGTGGCAATATTATGTCGAATTCAGAAGTGGTTGTTTCACTTTGCTCTGGTAGCTGGCAGTTGGTAGTGCTTTGTCAAGAAAGCATAACACATCAATAATGATAATACAGAGAAAAGAGAAATTTTCGAGTGTGCCAGACCACGGCCATATATATCATGTCTCATAATCTATTATCCAACCACTTATATTATAATACTTAGTCTACAATGCTCCATCAGCTGCAACAAATGCCATAATTGGGCAAACGGAAAACCCAAGAGCCGTGTGCAATAGCCAAACAGTTTTTAGTTCTCATCTCGCCGGTCAAAACGTGTACTGTGTGCAATGGCCTCTAGTTGCTACTTCAGCTTCAACTTGTTTCTTAACCATAGCAGCGTGCTTCTGATCGGCGAGATGAGAACTAAAAACTGTCTGGCTATTGCACACGGTATAGGTTCTGACCGAACTAGCTGTTGCTCCTCTAGATATGACCTTTTTCTTGTTCGTCTCCAAGTCTTCTTTTGGAACCTGCGGCTGGGAAGCCGTTGATGACCCAGCTTCTGGGTTTTCCGTTGGCCCAATTATGGCATTTGTTGCAGCTGATGAAGCATTGGAGGTCAAGACACTCCCATCATTCTTGGACTTTCCCAGTTGCTCCAAGTTCTTCTTATGTTTCTTTCCAACTAGTGTGCGACGTAGGCATCGTTGCTGTTACAATTGATTTTGCAAACTTCACACCATGCAGATTGAACAAGCTTGACTTTATTTGGGTCTTTCTTCCATATTCCATTGAACTGAGATCGAACTGCAGCGATATATGGCCCGCCATCTAGAGCCATTAAGCTGGCCTACACAGTATATGGAAATAGTACTAGTAAGTAATATAAAAATTATATGATGCATGGAAGTAGACCTCTACTGCAAATCTATCAACACTTTAATTTCATATGCCTATGGATTTTCCCAAACATATGGATTTTCCCAAGCCCAAATACACTTTGTATAAAAAATAAAATAAGAATATTCTTCGTCAACATTAACCCAAGCCCAAATACACCCCGAGTCCAGCCCAGATACATAGCCCAAAACCAAAATCTTCCAACCACCTATAAGCAGTCCCTATGTACCTCTCTTTCCCGCACCAAAATTCCCATTTCTCTGAGTCTCTGCAAAAACCCACCACCCTGTGCGATGATAATCCCACCGGATTCCACCTTTCCTTCCGGTTCACAATCCCCAATCTTTATTCCTCCACAATATTCTAACAATTTTACCTATCAAATTCCCTATCCATTCAACCCCACTAACCCAATTTGGTCTTTTCCTCAACCGGTGGTTCCCTCGGCAGTAGCCGCCGCGGATCCAGCCTGTCACCCGCCCGGCACCGACCCGTATGACAATTCGGGCTTGTTCCCGTGGACCCGTGTCGGATTCCAAGGTCAGACGCCTTTTGGTGAAGACCCAAATGTCCGTCCGCAGAACTGGGTTGGCAAGCAAGCTGAACCTGTTCGATATGAAGCTGTAAGTTCTTCTCTTCAATTCAAGTTCGGGTTTTTGGTGCATTTTAAATTTGGGTTTTCTTGATTTTGTTGTAATGTAGTTGTAATCGTAGGTGTTTGATAGGAACTTGGATTTGTGATCGTAATCTGTTTTGGAATGGAATTTGAAGGTTCGACCTTGAGTTTTGGTACTTTTGGATTATGTGGAAATTTCGATTCGGTTTCTTGTTACTGAAAGGCACTACTTGGTTTTGTGTTTACCTGTATTGAGCTTTCATCGCTTAAGAGTTCAATTCGATTTTTTCGTACTAATTTTATGTCGAATTTAGACTTGTAATTTTTCCCATTTGTTTGCATTGTTTTGATTTCGATTTTTGAAAGTCGTTGTTGGTGGTTTGCAGTCTATCAAATCTTTGAATGAGAGTATGACTGTGCCCTCATCGGCCTCGAATTGTTCGTGGAATAGCAGTTGGACAAATCAACCTTTGGCAAATACTGCTACAATGAACACTCCACAACCAACTGTGGTTGTCCAGTCCCTGCGGTGTGATGTCTGTGATATCTATTGTACTAGCAAACCAATTTATGAGGCACACATAGCGGGAAAGAAACACCAGAAGAAAGTCGCAATGCAACATAATCCCGGTGTGACTGCTGGTGCAGAATTGGAAACAAAGAGGCGTAAGATTTTGCGGGGCGGTTCAACAGTTGATTCTGTGAGGGTTTGCACCATATGCAACATTACTTGCAATAGTGAAGAAGTTTATAATAAGCATCTATATGGAAAAAGGCACAAGGCTCAGGTGAATAAAACAGTTTTTCAATAGCTTTCCTTTTAAGATTCTCCCGTCCCTTCTAGCAACCGATAAATCTTTTAAATGGTGGAATGCGTTTGCAACATTTGGTTTGTTTTTGTGCACCTAGTATAGGGGTCTTTAGGTATATGAAATTAAAGCGTTTTGATAGATTTGCAGTAGAAGTCCACTTCTATGCGTCATATAATTTTTATATTACTTACTAGTTCTATTTCCATATACTGTGTAGGCTAGCTTAATGGCTCTAGATGGCGGGTCATTTATCGCTGCAGTTCGATCTCAGTTCAATGGAATATGGAAGAAAGACCCAAATAAAGCCAAGCTTGTTCAATCTGCATGGTGTGAAGTTTGCAAAATCAATTGTAACAGCAACGATGTCTACGTCGCACACCTAGTTGGAAAGAAACATAAGAAAAACTTGGAGCAACTGGGAAAGTCCAAGAATGATGGGAGTGCCTCGACCTCCAATGCTCCATCAGCTGCAACAAATGCCATAATTGGGCCAACGAAAAACCCAGGAGCAGAGTCATCAAGGGCTTACCAGCCGCAGGTTCCAAAAGAAGACTTGGAGACAAAGAAGAAAAAGGTCATATCTGGAGGAGCAACAGCTAGTGCGGTCAGAACGTGTACTGTGTGCAATGTGGTGTGCAATAGCCATACAGTTTTTAGTTCTCATCTCGCCGGTCAGAAGCACGCTGCTATGGTTAAGAAACAAGCAGAAGCCGAAGTAGCAACTAGAGGCCCTATTACTGCTTCCTAAAACTCAAAATTCCGCGTTGAATTAAGTTTTGGATTTCTAATTGCTACTTCGGCTTTTGCTTTTTTCTTGACCATAGCAGCATGCTTCTGATCGGCGAGATGAGAACTAATATCTGTATGTTTATTGCACACGTTCACATTCTGACCGAACTAGCTGTTGCTCCTCCAGATATGACATTTTTCTTCTTCGTGTCCAAGTCTTGTTTTGGAACCTGCGGTTGTGAAGCTGATTAATAGGCTATTACAATCTCTCTTATTATATATTTTCTTACACATTTTTCTTCTTCAACACAACTATTTTATTTCTATCCTTTAAGTTTCCCTTAATTTACTCAATATAAAAATTGGAAATAAACAAGTGTATAAAAAAGATGAAACGAGTATGCGTAAATCATTGTTTTTTTTCTTTAAAATTATAATAACTAAGATACGAATGTACTTAATAATACTCTTTTTTGTATCTTAAGAGCATAAATCAAAAAGATATTTAGTGTGCTGAAAATACGGCATTGTAGATTAAGTATTATAATACAAGTGGTTATGAGACTTGATATATCTGACTGTGTTTGGGCACACTCGAAAATCTCTCCTTTCTCTGTATTATCATTATTTATGTGTTATGCTTTCTTGACAAAGCACTACCTACCAACTGCCAGCTACCACAGCAAAGTGAAACAACCAATTCTGAATTCCACAGAATATTGCCACACAAAAAACCTTAAAACTAATATATGATTAGTGTGGTCCTCTTAACAACTGTTAACTGTCGTAAAAAATACATTAAAAATCAAACTACATAAAAGACAACCATCACTTTCCTAATAACTTGCAAAAATGTAAGGTGCAAATAACAGTTGAGTCGGAAATCAAAACGGTGTTCCAAGTGTTTTTTACCAAGAACGGAGTTTTCGGGAAGTTAATTTGTGAAGCACCCTTGCATTAAATCATGGAGATTAGCACTAATCTACGTAGTGACTCGAACTTGTTTTCAGAGGGCGAGCACACTAATCTAGCAAATTTGAAATTAGGTAAAATTAACTATTTGAGAAATACTAAGGAGATTCTTTCAAAATAAAGCTCTTCGTGAACTCTTTACTAACTCACAGTTTAACATCAATTTTCACCCCTATATCACACTATGTCCAAGGAGAGTTTTTAGAGTTTTTAGAGTGAATAAATTCGAATTTGACATAGCTTTGTTTTTTAGGAAAACTAATGAAAAATGCTTGAAAACGTTTTAACGATAAAGACAAAATAAAGGATAAGTAAATAGTATTAGAATTGATTTTTTAGTATAAAAATTTGATTTTTCGTTAAAAATAAACAGTACCGAAAACTTTTCGTTAAATTTTGTTTGTTCTTTCTTCTTGACCCGACCTGACATATGACCGCTGAGGTGAGCTACCTGGCTCTACTCCGCCTTCGCCGGACCCACTGATACCGAAATTGAGTTGGCCTTTTTGCGAAACCCAAAACTTCATCATTTAAACAAAACGGTATCCTTCGAATTTCCCAAACTTCTCTCAAACTCCCAAGCTCAAATTCTGATTCGTTTCCCCCGAAACCCCTCCACCAACTCACCTCTGGTAAAGGTAGCAAAGCTTCTTACTTTACTCTCTCTCTCTCTCTAGCTTCGGATATTTCGATGGGTTTTGATTAAGATACCCTTTACAGTTCTCATATCTAATGGGTCTGTCCCAAATTTATCTTTTGCGAAATTTTCGATTAACTTTTTGTTTTGCTAAGAATTTGACTTTTTGTTTATTTTCAGATAATGTATTAGAATTTAGACCATGGCAATCTGCTTTTTCTTTAAAATTTTAATAAATAATTATGATTGTGCAGCCTAATTGATTGGATTAGAACATTTAGCGAGTTTTGTGGTGTGGGTAATTTTTACGATGGATGTTGATGTTGGTCTTGTGAATTTTAGATTTTGGGCTACTTGGGAGCTCAAATTATATAGCTTTTTAGTAATTGCACAAATGTCAAGCACAAGCAGCAGCAGTAGCAGCAGCAAGAGGAATAGTGAGAGCTCATTTGATGTTGAGGAACTCCTACAAATTGGGACAAGATGCAGAGAGGTGCGGTTTTTGTCTCTTTTTTTCGGTGTAATTTCGAAGATGGATCATTTGGAATATAAGAATGAATATTTTCTTGGATATTGTCTAGCATGAGATATATTGGTTATGGATGTATTAACTATGTAGGTAAAAGTTTTACCGTGAATTATATCGTCACAAGCTGCTTGAGACAGTAACCTTTGCAACTCTGCTAGTACATTCCCATTTCATTGTATTAGTTGGTGTCTTGGTTTGTTCGGTATTACTGATTGTGGAAGTTGATAAATTTTGTTTATGCAGCTAAAGAAAGAGAAAGACATGTTGAAAGAATCACAATCCCAAAGCTTCGGGCTGATCAGGGTAATGTTCATGTTTTTATTTACATTCAGCATTTGTCAACTGCTGACGTCATTCACGCACTCCCTGTAGGGTTTCTCAGCCAAATTTATAACTTGTTTGTATTATGGATAAGTTTGAATTGCCCCCAGTGATGAAGTTTGTAGTGCTTACATCCACCGTTTCTGTGTTAAGAGAATGTGAGGCATGTGGGTGTAGTTAGGTTAGAGGTCTGTGGGTCTTTTGCTTCGTGCAAGAGTGCTTATCGACGCCTTATAATTTTTTGAGTGGCTAAGTTTGTTTTGCAGTTAAAGTGCCTTTCTTTAACACCAGATGCATGTTTCTCACAGTGGCACATCAATCAAGAAAATAATAGAACAAAATACGAAAAAATGAGGGCCGGGAGTTTGGGTAGTTTTGTTCATGTCTACAGATGTTAAATAAATGGGAAAATTATTGCAAAAGATGTCGTTGAAGCTTTAAGGAATTATTTTCTCTGGCAGAGTATCTGATTTCAAATTTGGTTCATTCAGAGATTAGAAGTGCATGTGAATTCATTATCAGAAGCCTGCACAGAAGACAAGAAACAAATTCAAATGTTAGAGAAAGAACTCAAGAACTGCTCTCAAGAAATAGGTAGTCATCTACTCTGACATTCATTTCCTGAGACCGTCAATTTCCTATGGTTGACATTATGAAAGATGCTTAAGAAAGAAAAAGATGCTTTGTATTTCAAAATTTGTAATTTGCAGTTTATAATCGATGATCTTTTGTGCTAGATAAAGTACCAAACTGTTGTAATTGTTTTGAATTTAACTCATCAAAAACATTTATCACAGATTACCTGCAGGATCAACTAAATGTAAGGAACACTGAAGTGAACCTCCTTGAAGAGCATGTACATAGCCTTGAGTTTAAATTAGCCGATATGGAAACTTTACAAAAGATGGTTGACGGTTTAAGGAATGAACTTAAGAAGTCCTATACAGATCGCTTGTACTTAATACAGGAACTAGAAAACAAAGAAATAGAGTTACGGAATTCAAATTTGTGCATGGAGAAACTAGAGGAGTCAGTTTCATCCATGTCATTAGAGTCTCAGTGTGAAATAGAGAGTATGAAGCTTGATATATCGGCCTTGGAGCGTAGCTGCTTTGAAGCTAAGAAAATACAGGAAGAAACTGTTCGAGAAAATACTAGGATGAGTCAGTTAATTCAAGATCTTGAGGTTCAATGTTGGGATGCAAAGAAAACTGCTGAGACTTTCGAAATGGAAAATAAGGAACTTAGGAAGAAGCTTAATACATCGGAGACAAATACTAGGATATTCTGTCAGAGAGTTGAAAAATGGCTGGAAATGGACAGAGATCAACTCGACACCGAGTCCTTGTTGTGTGAACTAGAGAGAAACCTTGAGTTGTCAGAGGAAATGAGGTATGCTACTATTTACAGCTACTTAATTCTTTACCGATTAACTTATATACCACGTTTCGTCAAGTATAATAACTAATATTATCACCGTAAAACATGGTTCATCTTTCCAAATTCATCTAAATAGAACTTTTTCTTAGTACTTAACTACTTATGTAGTAATATTTTGATGATTTTTCGAAAGCACGTATGGAGAAGTCTTGGGCCCCCTCTTTTCCAAATTGGCAATGGTAGTCACACCAGATGCAGCTTTAATAAAGAAGATGGAGAAGCTGTCACGTCAGATAGAGGAGTACGAAGTTCTTGTGAAGCAACTAAAGGTATGTATACCCAAGGAGGCATAAAACAATTTGTTTAACGGTGTTTATTAGAAAGTCTATGTACACTCTCAAATACAGCTTTTCTGACCGGTTGCATAAACTCTACGTCAAGCTTTCGAGTGTGAATTCATTCAGTATTGTCCCTTCCGAGTTTTGAGGTTATATAAGTTAATTATATCTTCTAAGTGTTACATTACTTATGGTCGTTAGGAAGAACTGAAAGTGGAAAAGTTGAAGGCAAAAGAAGAAGCGGAGGATCTAGCTCAAGAAATGGCTGAGCTCAGATACCAAATGACAGGGTTGCTTGAAGAAGAGTGTAAGCGCCGTGCTTGCATCGAGCAAGCATCGTTACAAAGAATTGCTGAGTTAGAAGTACAGGTATTGATGCTTAGATTTGTAATGTATGTTTCTTTTACCCGTGAGAGGAAACATCTGAAATGTATAATCTTGTTTCTGTGACAAGATTAAAAAAGAACGGACCAAATCCATTGCTGCTCTCTGACAGCTCGATGAAGCATAGTTATGCACTGAAGGTGATGCTCGAAGGTAGTAGCATTCGCCCGGATTACATGGTTATTCTAGTGTCAGCCCTCACTCTTATGGCTGTGGGATGAAGGATTGTACAATGATAGCATGCAGTACTTGCGTCCAATTTTTTCGGATTGGGAGATTCCCATGTATCCAAGTACTTATTTAGAGGGGGTTTGTTTTCTCTGTTACCGAAGATATTATGTAGTTCCGAGGAAGCAGGCTGCTGTGGTACGCCGGCTCGGAAGCGCTCTTATTGTACTTACCCTTGTTAGGCGTGGGGAATGAAGTATACAAATCTTAGTACTTGAGAATTTAATTTGTGGATGTTGAAGTTGCTTCATAAACTATTGATTTGAAAGTGTATAAAATTGTCCACTGTTTGGTTGCTGAGAAAATGGACTCTTGGACTCTTATATATGCATGTATTGTTTGGGGTTGGTAGGAAAAGAGCCAGGGCCAGACAACCGAACCGAGTCAAAATGCATCATGAGAGTATTTTCTGGAATGTGATTCTCTTCCTTGCATTTTCTTAGCAACCAAACAGGCCAGATGGTTTTTTTTTCAGAGTCACACAATGTGTGTGTTGGATTCATAATATTTTATATATACATATATATATATGTATATATAAATAGATTATAAAGATATGTTTCTTTATCAAATTTCTTTGTCAAAGAGCCGGCCCTTCTCATACGGGATAAGGGAAAGGGATAGAATGATAGGGACTTTTCTCATAATTAATTAGTAGGCTTTTTGGGGACCAAAAAGTAAAAAAGTTATTGGCATTTCCACATTTTCTGAAACTTAGGAAATTGGAAGTAGAAGTCGTTTTCTCTTTCAAAAATGTTACTCTTATCGCAATTTTCATCATATTTGTACAATCTCTCTAAATAGAGATGAGACCTATATGTATTGGTGGGTTGTACCTTTATTGAAGAGGTGATACAAGTAAGTTCATGAATGAAATTATTGTTTTTTATTAAAGATTTTTTCTTTATACAACGATTTGGCGAAGTGAATTTGTATTAAGCTACTTGATGAACCAGTCATAACTGGTTATTGAACTTACCAGTTAAGAGAATTGAATTTGAGACCTACTATTTATATATGGACACAAATACCACTAAATTATAGGACTTGTAACATTAAGTGTAATCTTTTTGCTCGTTATTTTGTTGTAGTAAAAAAACTTACAAAGTACGTGTTAGCGGTACTAGTTGTTGTTACTTCTTAAAAAGAATGGACTCATGTTATGCAAATTACATTAATATTAAGGTAATATTTCAATTCATTTAATCCGGCGACTGAAAATTAAAAAAAAATTGTAGAATCTAAAATGAGGTAAGTAGATAACACCATCCTATTTTAAATTATTCTAAATTACAGAGAAGACAATTCAGTTTGAATACAAAGGAGTGGACACAATAACACACATATGACATGACTTAAAAGACTTTGACTTGGTACTCTGGTAATAATTGGTAAGGATAGTACCAACTTGCCAAAGGGGATTTAATTCCAAATAATTGAACACCAACTTGCCAAAGGAGATTTAATTACAAATACTCAAAGAAGAAGTCCAAATTGATTCAAAAGTTTAAAGAAATTTGTTTATATATTTTTACAATAAAGGATTGAGAGATAAATTAATTTTAATTTATTAACAATAAAATTTAAAAATTAGACCCGTAATACTAAATCGCGGATAATTAAAAAAAAGAAAACTAATGAAAATGACTTGAAAACTTTGAGTTTTAATGATAAGGACAAAATAAAGGATAAAGTGAATAGTACCAGAATTAACTTTTTAATGTAAAAATATGATTTTTCGTTAAAGTAAACAGTTTTTTTTTTGTTAAAGTTTCCTTCAAAAAAAGGAAACAAACAAAAGCATGAGAACGCTGCAGTTTCCATCTTCAAAGACTACGCTTTGCGACTACGTGTCTTGCCGAGTCTTGACCTTTGAACCTTCCCTCTTTTCCACTCTTTAAATCTCTCTCTCTCTCCTCTCTCCTCTCTCTCTCTCTCTCTCTCTAAAAAGATCTGGCCTTTCCTGCGAGACAGTTGCTACGATTTCTCAGGTACCCTAATCCTTCTCTTTGAATCGATTTCTTGGATTCTGCTTCTGCTTTTCGATTAGTTTCTGCTTTTTTCCACGGGTTTTCTGTAGCTGATCTTTTTTCTTGTTGTTATCTAACGGTCAACTTCTCAATTTTTTATTTCAAATTCCCCAGTTCTGAAATTATCTACATGCGTTTTGTGACTTTCTTGTTTGGTTGCCGAGAAAATGGAGGAAAATGGAATTTTGGGTTATTTTGCTTGTGTAGTTGGCGTTGTTGAGTAATGAACAAGGTCAAGTTAACCAAGTCAAATTTTTTAGTTTTCTGTGATACCCAGAAGTTCTGGAATTTGATTCTTTTCTTTGTTTGGTCTTAACTACCAAATTAAGCAAATGGGTTCGTTGGGTTTGTGATAAAATATTGTAGATGCTATTGTTTTAGGTTTGATTTCGTCCTTTGATCTCGTTTTAAATTTTCGACTTTTCAATTTCTGTTTGTTTTCTGAGAAGTTTGTGTTGCTTTAGGGTTTAGGGTTTGTTGGGTTTGTCATAAAATATTGTAGATGCTATTGTTTTAGGTTTGATTTCGTCCTTTGATCTCGTTTTAAATTTTCGACTTTTCAATTTCTGTTTGTTTTCTGACAAGTTTGTGTTGCTTGATTCGGTCCAAATTATTCACTTGTGTTTTCTTCTCTGTGAATTTTTTCAATGATGGTGCTCTAGTGTATTCCTTTGAAATTGATCCTTCTGTGTTTGAGCACCGATGCTTATGTCGAACATCTCACGTATTGTTCTTGTTTGCTTTTCCAGGATTGCTGTTGGTCTCTGAAAAGATTCTGAATTACCATTGTTTCAATTTCATTTACGATCTTCTACGCAGCCCAAGTAAAGTGTTGCCATATTTCCATCGAAAATGTTCGGTTTAAAGAAGTCTCCTTTGAAGACTGCCAAAAATATCACACTCAATCCTGTACATCCTGCTTCCTCTGGCTCAAACCCTTTTGAAGATGCACCAATTGGACAGAATGCAAGCACTAATCCATTTGACGATGAGCAAGGACAAAAGAACTCTGCTTTGACAGAGAGGAACAAATACAAGAATGATTTCCGTGACACCGGAGGAGTACAGAATCAATCAGTGGAAGAGTTGGAGAATTATGCAGTGTACAAGGCTGAGGAGACTACAAAAGCAGTCAACGGCTGCTTGAAGATTGCTGAGGAAATCAGAGAGGATGCTACCAAGACTTTGGTCACGTTGCATCAGCAAGGCGAACAAATCACTAGGACCCACATGGTTGCTGCAGACATAGATCAGGATCTTAGTCGGGTATGTTTTTTCTGATCCAATTAAAAATATATACTTGATACATCAAGAATCTAAGTGCATATGGAAAGTTAGGACTTCAAAGTATTACGTCTCTATAGTTTTATTCTTCCTTCTTGCAGTTAGCATAGTTAATTACTTATTTGATGTATGGTGTATGATTGGAATTCATGGTTTTTGCCTAAGAAAGTGACCTTGTTCATACATGTATTGTCCGTTTGTATTGGTAATATGTTGATTGTTTTTTTGGTTTTGATTTCTGTCAGAAATTCCCCATTCCAAACCCCTGGATCCTCCTGGATAGAGTTTGATTTAGTCCTACTTAGATGTTTTGCCACCTTGTGTAATCTTGACATAGATTCGCTGCTTGGCATATGTTAGCTTATTGGCTTGTAATGGATCTGACTATTGATGATGATAACTGCTTTGTACAATAGCTTCCTACACTATTCTCTTCTCTTCACTAAGAAAGAATTATGCTTCTTTTAGATTTGCAGTCGGCTTTCAACAACTCCTATCGTTCTGTTACTGTTTCTTTTGGTATATACGAAGATCTTGTTCAGCAAACTGAACAATATAACTTGCTTATTTCAGGGTGAAAAGCTTCTGGGAAGTCTTGGGGGTATGTTCTCTAAGACGTGGAAGCCAAAGAGGACTCGCCCAATTAGTGGCCCTGTCATCACAGGAGGTTAATTTTTTTTTTTTTTTCTTTTTATGTCCATGACTTACATGCTCCATCTTTGTTTTCCCTTGGAAAATGTAATAAAGTCGTCAGTTTGCATTGGAAAATGGTAAAATTTCATTCCAAAAATTGTTAAATGCAGATCACGCAGTAAGAAGGGGCAGCCAGGAGGAGAGGGAGAAGTTAGGACTGACTCCAGCACCCAAGGGAAGATCTAATCCCCGAACACTACCTGATGGACCAACCAGCGCCCTTCAGAAAGTCGAGGTTTGTATTTGTTATTAACTTCTTACCAATAATTGTAACTGTAGAGAACAATAAAGGATATTAACTGGTTTTGTCTGCTTGGCATAAGAAATGCTTTGTTCTTGCTCAAAACTTTTGGATGTCTAACTTTTTCGGCTTAAACAGGTTGAGAAGGCGAAGCAAGATGATGGATTGTCCGATTTAAGTGATCTGTTGGGAGAGCTGAAGGATATGGCCGTCGATATGGGGTCTGAAATTGAAAGGTAAGTTATGATGTTTCCGATATGCAGGGTTGCCTCGATATGTATATTTTTTCTATACCTTTATTTGCTCATCCAGCCCGAGTCTTTTTAGAGGCAACTTAGAATTATATGTAACTAGGTACTCGCATGATAATTGCAGGCATAACAAAGCTCTAGACGGTGTCTACGATGATGTTGATGTGATAAATGGCCGTGTTAGAGATGCAAATCAACGTGGTCGTCGCTTGCTCGGAAAGTAGAATGCAGGGTTGTAGATGGTTGCCTGGACGGACCGGATTGTTTTTGCGTCTCCCTCCCGTAGCCCTCGTTATTTTTCCCCATTTATTGATCTGGATTTTGTATAAAACTTCGTTCGTCGATCATGAATTGGAAGGATAAATTGATAAAACGATACCTTTTCCTTGTAAGTTGCTCTCTGCATATGATTCCAGAGCTACACAAAGTAATGAGCTTTGCAAACTCGCAATGGAAGAAAATAATTTCTGAAGGAAAACCGTAACCGCATCTCAAGCTAATTATAAATGAAAAACACGTGACAGTGCGTGATTGTTATGAATAGTTTTCAATTGATGGGTTTGAGTTTGAGGTCCATGATGCTGGTCATCTTCGGGGCGTTGAGCTTGGACACGAGTTCTTGCCCTTTAGCGACGTCCAGCTGGCCCTAGCCGTCGCAAAAGGCTGAAGAGAGGTGAGACGGCTCGGAAAGGGACTTGTGGTGGCGGAAGGCGTTGGCGGTGCGGCGCTGGTGTACTCTCTGACGTTGTAGTCGGAGAACTGCCTTGCCGTACGGAGTGGAGACCGGAACAGCCCCAGCATCTCCACTTTTGTTGGAGGCGACGCCATTGGAGAGAGGGAGATCTATTCTAAAGTGAACAACATGTCGTTTTATTATAAAACAGAATTTTTGACAGAAGTGATAGATAGACCACATTGATTCGCGACATCTATTTTCAAAGATTGCATTTATCGATTTTCAATTTTAAGACCATCTTG